GAGTTTTTAGGTGAACGAAGGCGTCTTCCGAGCCATTCCGTGACCCCAGTTTGCGTACTTGCTAAAGGATCTGGTGATGGTGACACTGGTCTCGTCGTCAGGCACTGGTCTCTTTCGATTCGTGGGGTTTGAATTATGTTGGGTGTGGAAGCGGAGGATGCCGACTGCGAACCTGGCAAGTGGTCAGAGAGTGTGGTGTGAGAGGTGGTCTATGACTGGTCTACCGAGTACTGAGATCGCGATCGTGAGATTTGGATACTCGTCTCAAACGGCAAACAGATTGCAATGGGTGACAGGCGGAGGAGCGGTGACTCAGCGGACGAACGGTCTTCTCAGACGAGGAAGCTGACAGGTGCGAAAAGCAGTGGCTGGAGAAGCAGCATTGTCGTGGGTCGGTCCAGAAAATAATACGAGGGGCGAGGGGCGAGGGGCGAGGGATTGGCTCGCTGCTTCCCAAACCGACCTTGTGCCGCTGCTTTGGTCATGGTCATTTCAGGCAAGCCAGCCTTGCCCTTGACATTTTGCTCTACTACCTCGTACTTGGTACCACCATTGTCCTTTCCGCCTTATGATGTTCAATGCTTTTTCCGCTCTCATCTCATCACCCAGGACCCTACCCACACCCCCCAGCTGACCACGGATTTTCCAATACCTTCCCCCCCATCGATTGGAAATGTCGCATCGGGATTCTCTCCCCTCCTCTCGCTTATGCCTCTCATTCCTGTTCCTGTCACCTTCTGCTGACTTCCATGAGAGGGCCCCCATTCTTTCGTGCCTTTCCTCCCGCACTCCTCCCCTCTCCATCTTCCCTCTCTCAACCAATCACTGCCATCACGCCACTTCCTAACTGGATACTTTACCTTAACCAGTCATCGGTCTCATCGAGAGATGGCCGCTCTAACCTGATAGAGAAAATATAACTCTCCCTTCCAGGGATTTATCTGCTCTATGGAGTCGTTTGGTTTGATGATCCAGCAACCTGAAACGCCCAAAGCCAGGCAATGATCTACCCAACCTGCTTAGAGACACTGGGATATTGTCAACAACCTCTGCTTTCAATCAAATCTATCCGCCTGTGGGACCGAGCTCGACACTCCGATCAGACCTCGCCGAGTCGGTCACCAATGAGTCTACCTACCTGGATGAGCATTCACCAGTCGCCGAAGAAATGCCCTAGGAAAAGTTTGATCTGCTATCTTCCCCATTATCGAATCAAGGCCTTGATCCACTTGTTCACTACTGCAATGCGCTTCAAAGAAAGCTTCGATGTTCGGTTGAGCGAAGACTCCACCACTTCAAGTAATGGAAATGGCGACGTTGTTTTCGGCCGACTCGTCTGCCCGAGGCCCCGAGCCTTGTTTGGATTTGCAATGCCGTCCAACCCGATAGTTCGTCTTGCTCGCCCTTGCTCATCCTCACTATCCCTTGGCCATGGCTGGCAACCAGTTGTCGTCCATCCAATGCATTTAGGGCACATTTTCTGAGCGTTAATCAATGTGTGAAACGCCCTTTCTTCACACCCCGGCCCATTTCCCCCTCCCTCCAAACCACTGCTGGTGCTGCGTGCTCGGACATTATCGCACCGCTGACTCGTGCATTGGCCTGGCCATACCTGCAAGTGGTCACAAGGACGCCATCTTGTCGATCCCGCATTGGCTCCCGCTTGTGCGCTACCACTGACCGCCTTGCACAATTGTTTTATGCACATCATGGATCACTGATCTTCTCTAGTCATTCGCATCAAAACATGCTGTGGAAGTTGACTGTAGTCGCAAAGGCAACCGTTCGCAGCTTAACAACATGCCATGATTCATGCTGGATATTGATGAGGGGAGTCTGTGCCTTATCGTGGAGAAGCATATCCTCACAACGATCGAGATATGGTCTCTTCAGCGCAACGAGTGGCGCTATCCATCCATGCAGCAATTCTATCGAATCATAGGGAGCCTCCCCGGCCATATCACGAGTCTCGTATAGACGCATCTCTGACACCGAAGGGGCGTACTCGCCTCATATGCTGGCCAGGAGCAAACACGAACACTCCCCTCACATGGGGATCGTTCCAATGACTGTCCAAGCTGTACGAGCGATGTACGAAGCTCCCCTTCCACCAGCGGGGCGCTGCTGCGGTGTGTCCACAGCAAGGTTCGATGCACATTCTGCCCCCAAAGGAGGCTAAGGAGAAATAGGGGCCGTGGAAATAGCGATCACCCCCTGACGGACTCTGTCGACGCGGATTAACTCCCTAACTGATTGGCAGGGACAGGTCAAGGATCGTCGTACAGCAAATTCAATGAAGAGAGGCAGCTGGTGCAGAACTGTGATGGATATTCTACACAAGCTCTATTCAAGTGGTCAACACAACACTCGCCTGTTTTATTGCTATGTTATCTTCATGGTTTCATATCCAAGCCGACTGACGCCAACCCAGTCCGTGAGCCCGAAACCAAGCACACCACACACCACAAACACGCAGAAACCCGCAGACGCAGACGCAGACGCACACGCTATGCTGCTGGGCGGCGCCTCAGTCACATCTTCTCGAGGCTGCGCAAGCTGTAGAAAAGGAGGTAGGCCTCCTGCCTCAAGACGTCCTCGGTGGTGGTCGCGCTGACGATCTCGTCGTCGAAGCGGAACCACTTGTTGTCCTGCCGACAAAAGGCAAAGTAGTGGCCATTCTGGGCGTGCTCGCCTTGGTGCACCACCACGCAGTCGAGGTCGTACATGAACTCGCTCTCTTTCCTTGCACCGGCTCTAGTAGAAGTAGAGGTAGAGGCAGAGGCGGACGTATTCTTGCTGCTCTCCTTCTCCTTGTCCTTTTTGTCAGCCTCGCCGCTGGTGTCCTTCTTTTCTTTCTTCACAGCCGCGGCGGCTGCGGCTCTGCCATCTTTGGCAGGCGGCCGCGTCGTGTACGGCGCCATGTCAAGGTGCAAGCCAAAGTCGATCTTGCCTTCGTATTTCTCGGGCGCGAACACGCCGCTCGCAATCTGCTTCATGCCGAACCTCTTGACGTGTACGCACAGGATGGCGGGTAGCTTGCGGATTCGCGTCTGCTTCGAGGCCGACCGCCGCGTGTTGCATTTGTTGCATCTGTATTGCTCTGGCGACAGGGGCTCCGGGGCGGTGAATGCACGCAGGCAGTCTTGGATGGTCGGGATGGTGATTTTGAGGTCCGCGGCCTTGTCCTTTTGGGACGACGGCTTGTTGGTGTTGGCGTTGATGTTGGTGCTATTGTTGCTGTCCCCTTTCTTAGCGTCCTTCTCGTCCTTACCCTTTTGCTTGTCGTCTTTGCTCCCCTCGTTGCTCGCACCACCGGCCTCTTTATCTTTCGAGGCGGATTCTTTCGCACTCCCGCCCTCTTTCGCAGCTCCGGCCTCCTTCGCCCCCTTCTTCCTCTTCTTCAACTGTTTCTGGAAATCTAGTGAAATGCTCGAGAACTCGTCCTCTCTGCTCGACACCGTGTGGCACGTATCACAAGTGATCTGGCTGTTGTAGCGCCCGTAGAAAACCTTGTGGAAGAAACATACACATTGTTTGTCCAGCGTTGAAATCCCGTTGGCCTGGTTGGCTGCCTGGGATTTGTTTTCGGAAGAGGGGACGTACTGGGCAACTCCCTCATGCAGTCGGTCAATGATGCAGATGAACCACTCTTGGGCATCTTGCTGGCCTTTGCCAGACATTTGCTGTGTGTAGAATCAGCATTAATATTCTCCGAAGAGCAGGGGGAAAACAGGATGTAATAGAAAATAGGAAGGACAGCAGCGTACTGGAATATTCTTCCATGATGCAAACAAAAGATTGACGGCGTGAGCAGGAAGAGGCTGATCCACCATAGTAACATCAGAGAAAAGCTCCGTCATGCCACAGGCAACGCAACTCTTCTGCTCCTTGATCTGGGAGCCTTCTGCAGACCCGTCATCATCGTCGTCGTCGTCGGAATCGTTCTTGTCCTTCTTGTCGGGCTCCTTGGAGATCGGACAGGTGTGCGTCGGATGGCCCATTCCCAAGAAATAGCTGGCCAGCAGCGAATTGTGCACCATCATCTGCAGCACAGCGTTCATATAGCACGTCTCCCCCAAGTTGAACAGGCCGCGAACACCGGTCCTGCCGCACGGTCGTTGCGAGGTGTTTGCTGTCAGATACGAGTCGTCTTCCCCATCGTTGGATTCTGCGAGTTTGCGTTTCACCCCGTTGACCCTGCTGCTGATGGCGCTGCTTTTGGCGCTGCTGACTAACAAGGCTGGATCGTACACCAGGTCGTTACAGTGACCACAGTAGACGGACTTGTGGGAGACGGCGAACCCATGCTGGGACTTGGAGAAGTGCTTGTCCAGCATCGCAAAGCTGCCTGAGAAAGAGCATGAGACGCATGAGTATGTTGCGAAGTCCGGGTCAAGGTGGTTGTTGCTGCTGTCACGAAAGGCGCTGATTTTGCCGGCGACGTCGCTGTCGAGGTGCTCACAACCCGCTGTGGGCATACGTTGAGCTAGAGCCATGATTCTTGAGTAGACGCTTCGATGGTTAAGATGGATAAGTGGCAGCGCGTGGACGAGGAGAGTATATATAAAAGTGGATTGTCAAGGACTGGTCGAGTTCAGGAGAAATCAGAAATGGCGATGGTCGAACTGACAAACAATCCACAACAAGGTCGCCCTTTGTCCCTGAATACTCCTCAATGGCGGTCAGCAGTGATTATAACATTTTCTCATTCATGAATACAAGGACAATAGAGACCGGTGCTATTGTGGTTTGAGGTGGTGGCAGAAAATCAAGCAACATTTTGCGTGTTGAAAGTGATTATTTCTGCGCTGTTGGAGCTAATGCTCCACACTATAAATACGGTGGGCTGATTCATCGTGTCGTAGCCTTGCATATCAAGGTCTAGACCCTTCGAGACCTTTTTGACTCCTCATGGTGTCGCCTGCCACTGCATCTACTCCTCAAGGACGTTGCTGGAGATGACGTACATCTCAGCTGATCGGATTCCTTCGTTTTCGCTGTCAGTTCGGGTTGTTCAATTTGCACGTCACGTCGCCCAAGAATACAAAGGACTGTGTCAAGTGTCGTTGTTCAACTAGCTCTGAGCCTCCTGTCGGCCTCCAGTCTGTCATCAGGGGCCATATCCTCTCCACTACCTTTGTGCACTGGTCGATCACCTTCTTCAAGGGTAAGAAAAAGACTGCCTCGGGGAAGTCTTCGAAGGCGACGTCGACCTCATCAGCATTCCACATCACCTCCTCAACCTTCGCAACCAGTTCAAGGAGCTCATAAGCCCACGAGTAAAGCTGCCCGGGGGCTTGTGGCGACAAGGGAGCGCCGTAGCCATTAGTGTATCGAACCGCCGACATGAAGTTGACTAGCTTCGCACACGCTCGGACAATAGACTGTGCCCGATTATATGCGGCAGTGGCCTTTTCTGGTATCACTCATACAATGCGAAGTTCCGCACAGCTTCCTCTTTCTGAGCCTCCCCCAAGTTTCCAGAGTCCGTCCTGCCCGTCTCCAACGTCTCGAGAAGGCCCGTGACCCGAGTATCGATCTTGTGGCCCAAAGTCCCACCCGACACCGCGACACAAAGTATGTTGAGAATGAAACCCTTGAATTTGTATTGTACGTGTTCTTATAGACAAACTCGTACTCTAATAGACTCACTGTCGAGAATGAATTAGCAAGTGGGCGATTACTTACGATGGGACAACGACATGCTCACTCTTTGGGTTGAGACCTCCCATCTTCCCAATGTACAATAATTAGAAGACAGGCCGAGTGGTAGGAGTGTAAAAATGAGAGGAGGGAGATTAAACTGTGGATGCCGTGTGGTGGATGCGACTTTGGAGCCCGACGTCTTCCAGGGCCGTGTAAACAGGTGATTTTTGATGTGGCGCTGTCAAGGGTCTGTCCTTGGAGATAAAGGCCACGATGTCGTGAAGCAGCTGTCTCCTATTTGCTTCCCCTCGCTCTACCCCGTGGTAGACCACTTCCTCTCGAACCACGGTTTCCAGCACTGCCTCCCCTTCCTCTCCCAGCCGTAGCACCTCCACGACCGGTAGATAGATTGCTCTGCTTCATAGTCGACGAAGTGCCAGGTGTCACCGATGGGGCCATGCTTTTACGACGTGGAGTTGCCTTCAAACTTGCGAAACTGGCATCTGCCGTAGTCATGAAAGTTGCATCTCCATTACCATCTCCGACTCCACCACTACCAGTGGGGGGACTGTTTTGAATTGTTGTTGACTGATCGTCCGGGTTACCCAGACCGCCCTGTTGTCGCTTTTGCCAGCGCTTGATCGACTCGGTGATTGGAGCCTAGGGTTGACATATCACCGTCAATATCAATCACAACAACAGCCACATAGCGATAACATCGAAGGGAAGTGTCAAATATTCACCCACCTCGGGGAAATCAACAACAAAGGCATTCATATTCAACCCATACAGAAAGCTCGCAAAACTCTCTCCGAACCGACTGAGACTTTCATGCATGAGTTGCAAGTGCATCAAATTCGCCTCTAGGTCAGCCATTGAGTCGCTCAATTCTGCAAACTGTGGCTCCAGGGAGTCGAGCGGCATTCCAGGCCCCGTGAAGATCCCATTGTTTTGATGGACAGAAGCACGGAATGAGGAACGTGACGAAGGGCGGAGGGGAGTAGTTGGCCTGGAAGCGGGAGAGCGCGATCTCGTTCCGACAGGCATCTGGGATGTTGTGCGAGGCTGTGACATCTTTTACACTGCGCCAAAGTCTTCTATTTGGGAGTTTGATATCGTGTTCGGACCCAACATGTACAGACAACGGGACTGGGCGAAGGTTGGACTTCGGAAGACGTGTCTATGTCCACCAATCACAATGCAACCTTGTGCGCACTTTCGGAAAAATAAATATCTGATTGTTCCGGGCGAGGCTGAGATGGCTGACAAGGCTGGAAAAAAACACAGCGACGTGAAAAAAAGTTCGCTCATGGGACAGACGTAGATGCCCTTTAAAAATCAAAATGACTGGATGAAGGTATACCAGGAAACTATTACATTGTGGCCGAGCGATGAGAAACAGCCGCCACCACAGAACACGACCATCTAGAGATCAGCGAAGCCCTGAGACCGATCGAACCCTGGCTGACCCTACAACTCCAGGCTCAGAGCCTTTTGTGCTCGGAAGTACTTGAATTTGGACTTTCGAGAGTATCAATCCTGTCCTTGATCCCTGTTCTGTCAAGGTTGCCCGCTCGCTGCTTGCCCAAAGGTCCGTTTGTATGTAACACAAGATGCTTCCCTTAACTCAGATCCCGTCGAAATCACCGCCAGGAGCATCATCCTCGTCCATTTCTCCGTCGACAATCTCCTTCGCAAGCTCACGTTCGCGCTCACGAGCTTCTTGAGCATTCTTAAGCTCTAATCGGTGTTGGTTCATGGGGAAACGCATGGCCTGTTGTCATGTTAGTACCAGGACCAACTGAAAATGTTCGAGTTAGCATACCTTGACGCTTTCATCGTGCAAAGCTAAACAAGCTTGGATACGCTCATGAAAAGCATCGCCTGGCTCTCTGGTGGCGTACACGTCTCCCACTTCCTTACTCTTCATGTACCCACGCTCATGGTCCAGGCTGGCTTCAATGACCCCATCGCGAATTGCCTTCGCCACAATGTACTCTGCCGACTCCTCACTGTCCAGGCCCAGTCGCAAACACATATCACGCAAGGAGATTCTTGCATATGAAAGAGACATCATGCGAATGCCGGTTCTGATCACATTCTGTCTAAGTCTCAAAATAAGCGTGTACGTGTCATCTTTTCTAAAGGTGGCGTTGTACCGCTGGACCAAGGTCTGAAATCCGATCACATCTCCCGAGCTGACGGCTTGAACAAGCTGAAGATATGGCTGCAATGATTTCTCTAAGCTCGGCTGGCGGAAGATTGCACGATCCGGGATGTCCCCCATCAACAGTTCAACCACAATGAGCATTTTGGTTGATGCTTGATAGAATCCGCTGGCCTTGTAGGACGTTGGTGATTTGCGTGCCGCTCCAGTTAGGTGCTCGTGAGCTTCAGTGTACGAAAGTTGGATTGCTCGAATACGTCCAAGATAGTAGAAATATCTGGCAATCTGGTTGTTGGCGGCGTTGGCAGGGAATTTCGTGTGGGATATCAACAGGTCTGCCTGGGTGACGTGAGATGTGGAAAGATAATTCCGCAGAAGCAGAGTCGTGACCGCGGCCTGAATATCCTGATCTTTTCTCAATGTTGCAGTGCGTAAAGCATCGAGAAGCGGCTTCCGGATTGAGATCACTGTAGCAGCAGGCGAGGGCGGCAAGGGCGCCATTTCTTCGAAAAATAGCGCATAGTAAAAATACACCCGAGCTGACAGCGAATCCAACGTCCGGCGATTCAACGTCCGAAGATGTTCAACCAGGGCGCTTGAAAATTGGGCGCCTGCGTTGATTGATTTCTTATCGTAGAGATGAACTTGCACCAAAATCGACAGGTAGACGTCTATTTCGGGGAGAACCTCTTTGTGTGAGCTTTTTTGGTGTGCAGACTCCCTCTTGCTGTGCCATTCCTCAACGTGTTGGATTGGAAAAGATGGATCATCTTTGACGGCGCTAAGCAGGGACATTGCAGTCGCGGTAGGGGTTGCGTACGTGTCGGTAACCACAGAGGCTAAAACATAAGCGGACAGATGTTTTCGAATGGAAGGTATGGATCGGAGGACTCTCAAGCTGAATCGAGGATCGAACTGGCTGACAGCACGTTCCAGTAACGGAAGGTTGGCTTTGATTTCTGGATCGATGTAAGTATCGCTTCTCCATCAGCCGAACTAATGTACAACTCACCCTCGATTGCCTTTTCTTGAGGATCAACTTCCTCATCGCCTTCCTTTTCGCCGTCGTCATCTATTGCCCCATTTGTGAGATCTGCGTCGGTAGCTTTCTGAGGTGCGCTCGGGGTGATTGAACCCTTCGCGGGTGGCACGACAACGGTCATCTCGTCATCACCATCCTTTTCCTTTGACTGCTTTGGCGTTTTTTTTGAATTCTTTGAGCCATCTTTCATTTCGATGTCGTCCGAGCCGTTGATGCCATTCCGGGTAGGATCGGTGCCGTTAAGATCGTGTTTGTTGCCGCCCATATCTTCGGCAAGAGCTTGATGTGTTGTTCGGGAAGAGAGAACAGGCTGTTGGAGAGCGCAGGTTTAAGCTGGGATAGACGTATGGCTTATTCTTCGTTTGACGGGTCCCTCTGTATAAAAATGAGGATTTATATCAACACAAGGTCGGCCACTGAGTTGGCATATCCTGCCCGGAGTTCCTAGGTCTTTGTCCGCCACCAATCACAGGTCTGTAGATACAATCGACTTCCTGGGGATATGACTGCAATGCAGAATCAAGAATGGAGTTTGTTCTTGAGGTCAGCAGCGAGGGGCGCTCGAAACTGTTCGTGGTGAGGTAAGAGCAGGGTTGAAGCAGTAGAGGTTGGGATGGAGATGGGAAGTGGCTAGTGGTGATTTCTTCCTTTGGCTCGCCCTGCGCAGCCGCAGCTCGCCAGGCACAACAGACAAACGCGTTCGGCTTCTCTCCACACGCCACAAAACTAATCACTAATACATCATCGTTGAACCCATGAAACAGTTACAGGACAACCTGTAATGTGAATCCTGGACGTCTTGGGCTCTCCAAAAGCTGTTATCATCATGGCGGCTACCAATTGCTTGTAGCGGCATATCCAGCGACGGAGCAGGTGGGAGGATCAAGACTCGGACACGTGCTTCCAGATCTCGTTTCAACATGGCTTTCCTTGCGAACCATTTAGAGCAGATTTCGCTGTCTGCAAAGTCTATATCGGAGCTGGAGTATGTGTTTAGTCTGGAACTTTTCAGTGTCCGCTGACCACATCGCAGATTACCCCCACCCAAGATCTTTACAAATGCTCTGCTCAACAACCAGGAGATTACTACCTTAATTCGCGACACCGAACCTCATGAGCGTGCCCTCTTCTCAATTGACCCTAATGCTCTCAGCAGAAATCGTCAGCAGAACGGCTTCCCGCCTATGGACACCAAAAACGGTCATCAGGGTCGCAAGAGTGGCTTTCCTTCCGCCCATCCCATTAAACAATCGGCAGTCTCAAGGCTGCTGGGCAAAGAGATGCTCCAGGAAATAAGACAGTCCAGTAGTGCACGATCTCGTGAAGGAGTCAACGTTGAAGTCCTGCTTCGCGGGGCAGAAAAGCTTTGTGAGGTATATACCGTCGCAGGAGCAACAGACAGGATTCGAGTCCTCCGCAGCCGTCACCGAGAAGTCGCTGGCTCCATAGCTATGCTCGAGGAGAAAGTTTCCAAGCAACAGTCGCTTTTGGACCGGAGGAATCTGGCATTGAACTCTGAAGAAAGGGAAGATGAGCAGGAGCAAGACCAAGACCCTATGGACCACAATGATGCTGTCGGCTTTCTGGAAGAGGATTTCCAGGTTGAAGAGGAGGAAATTCGCGAGTTAGAAGCTAGGAAAAAGGCCTTGGAGGAGCGTGTCTCCGACATGGAAAGAGATCTCGGCGGCCTTCTCAAGTGAGGGTGCTCGTGTCGAGGGCCGACACCACTTCAAGCGGCCCGAGAATCCGTGAACCCTGCGCTTCACCGGACAGTTGACAGCAGCGATGGATGCTAGGTCGCTTGTGTTGCTTCATACGACCGGCAAAGTTCTTGTAAAAGCTATGTGTGCCATTGGCATTTCTATCCCGTCGTGATAGTATGTCAACCTGGACGCATTGCCCAAGACTCCCGCGAATCTTCCCAAAGCTTGGCTTGTCGATACAAGGGCACTTCGCCAACTGTCAGCGGTCAGCACGCATCGGCATGTTAAAATACAATGTTACCACCTGCTGGCGAGGGTTATATAACGCAACTGACTCCAATGTCTCGTCCGTACAGCCATGTTCAGGGAAGGCTGCCAAACAGTTCTCGACAATTCCGAGTTCACCAGCACTACCGGAGAGAGTTGGCAGTGCGTTGCATAGCGCGTCGCTCACGAGCAAGAGGGACTTGCACTTTCGCTTGTGAGAAATCCTCTTGCTCGCTTACGTGCAATGCATCCTCCTTTTCATATTATCGAATCTCTGACTCCACCTTTTTGCACTCAAGTCTAGATCCATAGTTACTAAGTAGCATGTGGCTACCAGAAGCTACTGAAGCCACGCCTCTCTGGTGGGGCGCCTTGCATTTCATTGACATCGATCTTCAGTCCTTCGTATGATCTGTTCAAAGGGCTCGAAGCAGATGGGACTCTGCTTTCTAGAGTAATACTGTTCAGGAGATGAATGTGCATAGACTGTTAAAATTGGGAAAACATGTCCACGAAGGAAGAATGCTTGGATACCATCTGAAAGAATCTGGATGCATAATTCAGGGGGTGCCTTGTACGTAGGAGGTGGATGGAAAATAGGGCAAGGTTACGTCTGGAGCATATCTAGTACGGAGAAGCCTGTTGATACTCGGTAACAAGTAAGCAGGTGCTGCGGGTAAACAGTTCAAGACAGTTCAACACTAAATTCCCCATCCGTGGGCATCTGCGGGCGCTGGTCCACTGGTGCTCTGGTGCAGGCAAACATAAAGGGGTGCAGGCCGCCGCCCGCTTATGGAGGCCAACGGCAGCCAGCACGTCGTGCATAGCCGTCCCAGCCTTCAGAGAGCAGCAGTCAAACTCGGACACT